TCTACCGAATATTTAAAGTAAATTATTTCTTAAATCTAAGTTTCTGTATCTGGCATTGAATTGCCTTATATTTTGTTTGATGACTAAAGATATTACTTAGTTAGTCAAGTTAAAATTTAAGTAGTGTGGATAGTAATTCATGAATTTAAATCGCTATTGTTAATGGTACTTGTAGAGGACATAAGAAGATTGTTAGTTAAAAATGGAAATATTAGATGATGAATAGAGAATTCGACTATGGACAAGGTGATCTTGAAATGTGTTAGAGATAAATGAAGGCAACTGCCACTTTCTGGTTGAACATACCATGTAAGAATAATCCTTCTCTAGGTAGCTTAAAAAACTGAACCATGTCGAGTGTGGGCCTTGGATAATCTAGGAACGTGAGCACCATTCTAAAAGGATAACTCATGTCGGTCAACCAGAGAGTAGTTTCCCAATGGCTCTGTACTTTGAAAACCGTACATTTGACAATAGAAATCCGTGGAACAAGATGACGTGTACTATTTTTGATATCAACAAACTGTACTCCTTACGTTGTGAGAAACAAGTATCGCTGGAGGAAGCACATTGATTTCTCCATCAATTCTTCTATCTGACGGCATCTCGACCTTGAAACCATAAATTGTCGCTTTCAGTTCCACTTTTCTGCCTAAGTCTATAGAACCTAACGGAACGAGTGTTCCAGCCGACTGGTTTGACCGACTACAGCAAGCGGCTTTCTATTTTGAAAGTTATAAAGAAATGTCTGGAAAATGTAGTTTCTGTACTTGCAAGGTAGGCTGTTATTGAGCGGGATGAGAAAAATAAATTTATTTTTCATCGTCAAGACCAAGGCGAATATGTGGAGACGTGGTCGATTATGAATTGAACATTTCCGGAGGATGATTACTCTTCACTAAACTTAAAGAACCAAGTTGTAACTACCGTAATCCACCAGTTTTAAGAGAAAAAATGATTATAAACAAAATTCAGACGGTATACGGTAGCAGAGATACTGTAGAACAGACCATCAAGACTAGTGTCCTACTCAGTACATTTCTGAATTCTATACTCTACTAAGTATCTTATTTGGGGAAGTGTCAACAATGAATTTCCACTTTGTACCACATCATTAGCTTAATTCATGCGAAGATGATTATAATGATCGTATAAATCGTGTATTCAAAACGGTTGTCTGAAGGTGTAGAGGAGGAAAATAGTGGAATGCGCTCTATGATGTTGTATAGAGTGACACACAGCATTATTTTACAATTGTCGTAACGCTTGCTTAGATAATTACCGGCTAATTCCTATTGCTTAGTATTCTCTGACCACAATACACTTGACAAGTTCCAAAGAATCAAAAACACGGTGGAACAGGAAAAGATTATATTCCAAATAGCAAGGTTAAATGGAAATAAGAAGCCGAAGGCAAAAATAGATACAACGTTAGTTTCTTCATAGTATTTACATGAGAAGCTTCTGGATAGTAATTCACGTGATCGACTGGATTAGATTTAGCCAATCAGAGGGCAGCTAACAACACAAGGATTTTCTACCCTGTTCTCCAAATATCGATCAGGCGCTGATTGGATAGGAAATTAGCCAATCAGCGCGTAGTTAGAGCAGTCATGCTTTATTCCATCTACGTCGCCCTAACAACAATAATAACTAAAAATATATGACTCCCATCTTTGAAAAAAGCTTTACGACAAACCAACAAGTTATAAGAAGTGATTAGCAAGCTGGATTATTCACACCAATGTGTGTAGCGATATCTAGTAGGAACACTAAAGCAATAAGCAAGTAAGTAAATAGTTAATCAAGATTTCTATTCCCATATTTTGTCGGAAGTAAACTTGAAAAATATTATGCTTCACTTTATATAAATATATATAGATGCAATTATACTAACCGTTTGTGTGTGGTGTAGTGCGAGGCGGAGAAAAAAGTGAACGGCTTATAGGAATTCCAACAAAGAAATATATATCAGTCAGTCAGCTACAACGTAGAATTTCGTATGTAAGTACATCAGTTCAGGTTGCCATAACACATTAGTACAGAGAAGCAATTGTCAATTCAAATCCCATAGTGGTAAAGATAGTACAGAATTACTACTAATGGAGAAGATTAGGATTTGAAGATAATATTCAAGAAGTATAATTCAGTGTGAGATAAGTTTAGAAAGACAAAGATAGAGGTGTCGACAAATCCAGATTAGGATTTGAGAGAACACAAAGAGTGGATGCACCTGAGCCACTGAAAAAGATTTTGAGCAATATCACTTAGGGTCTATAACTATCGATTAGTATTATCTCGCGGACCCCAATCAGGTAGTCTACACCCACCAACATGACTCAGTCCTCTTGTCAATTCCTTCGTGGATATTTTCATTTCGCCGCCCCTAGCTTTCTTCCAACATATTCCCACGTCACAAAACATAGATCGACGAGGCGGTCGATGGTTAGGTATACGTAACACATATCCCAACCACATCAACTGGTGAAGTTTCAATACTTCATCTATTGATCTGCTATCCTTAACTAGCACCCGTTTCCTAATAACAGCGTTGCTTACACAGTTGTCCCACGATACTCGAGCAATGCTTTTAAGACATCTGTGATCGAATACTAATAACCTACGAATATCTTCAACTCTCACTGGTCATGGTTCACAGCCATATAATAGGACGGAGCGAACTACTGCACAGTACACTCCTTCTTTTATTCAGCAAACGGATATCTCGCCTACGTCATAAATAACGCAAGTTGACAAAAGCCAATCGAGCCTTCAGTATTCGTCACAAACCAGGCCATCAACACTACTGAGACTCCAAAGATAATTAAAGCTGTAGACACGCTCAACTACTTCACTTCCTATCACTAATTCGGGTCACCGATACGACCCAATCCTCAGGCAACATTATGCATAGATCACAGAAAACGCAAAAAAGAAAAAAAAGATTCAAACAATATACACGTAAAAAACGGAAGCCTAAACAGCTGAGAAATACAATTAAAAACAACTTTTTCTTCAAATAATAATTTTGTATATTATTTTTTAATCACAATCGTAGATTGGAATGTGTGTGTGTAGTAGTAGTTGTAATAAAATGGTTGATTGGATACAGCCGGAACGAGAAAAGAGGAGGTAAACAACCTCGGCACAGAAAAAAAAACACAAAACAAAAACTAATAAGTAGGAATGCGTAGGTTAGATAATAATAATAATAATAGTAATAATATTAGGTGGTAAGTAAGTAAGTAGTAACCATAATATAGTTTGAAATAAATAGTTAGTTATGTTATGTTATGTAGATAAATATATGGGGAATCCAATAAAGATAAAGATAAAGAAGTAGTAACTTAGAAAACATGTTGTATTAGTAGTGATAATAAGATTACTTACTACTCTACTCTACTCTATTCATTGCTACTACTACTACTACAACTATTTACTGACGAGAAGAAAGTAATGTTGCACCAGTTGGATATACAAGTGTAACTAATCTCTCATAGATCAACACCACCATGATCATCATCGTCATCATCCGGTTATCAAGTTAAATAATAATCATAATAATAATAATAGTAATAACAATAATAATACAAAAAAGAAATAGATTTAAACCAAATCACATGGAAATTGTATACACAAACAAGCATAATTGTTTCCTTTCAACATGTTTTCAAACATAATAAGCCAGATCCCCCTTTTTCTTTTATTGATCTATTATTATTGGTCAATGACACCGATAAATAGAAGAGACCAATGAAATGGTCTCATTCTGAAAGAGATAAATAAACGAAGTAAGAATATATATATATATGTCAGTTGTTCATCAGCTATGGTAAGCCTTGGAATAGAGAGAGAGACAGTGTGTGTGTGTGTATGTGCGGGGCGGGGCGAGGCGAGATAAGAAAATGATTCGATAATAAATAAGGTGTGAAAATTTGAGGAACAGGGCGATTAATTTTCACATTTCACTCACTGATCATATGCATATGATATAAACAACCGTTTTTTTTTAAAAAAAAGAAAAGATTAGAACATGATCACAGAAACTCGTCCGTCAATAAAAGAAAAACGTCGGGCGGGCGGGCTGGCGGGGCGGGTGAGAGAAAATGATCACAAGAAAGAAAATGTATTTTTTTCTGTTTGTTAAATAATAAATTCTTGCCACAACCACAGTGAATGAGAACTGAAAGGATGGAGACACAATGATAGCATGTAGTCATGATGAATGTAGATAGATAGATATATATGTATAAATATAAATGGCATGAACAGAGTTATAATACATGCAAACATACATACACATGTGTAGTAGAGATGTATGAGAGATGAGAGAGAATAGTCATGAGATAAACATCGAGTAGAGATACAATAAAACAGAAAAAGGAGGCCAAGGGAAGGAAAAAAAATGCGACATAAAACCAACGGACACACACTCACACACACACACACAGAGATAAACATGAAACAATCAAGTCGGTGGAATCGCAATGCGAAACAAAATAGTGGCAGATGTGATGTAAGAAAATAAATAAATTGAATAAACAACAACGGAATGGATAAATAAAAAATGCAATTTGATTGTACTGTTTTTTTTTCGCTGAATTAAGCAAAGAAATTACTTGTGTGTGTGTGTGTGTATGCGTGTAGTAGTAACAGTAGTTAAATATGGATAAATATGGATGTATTATTGTTGGGAATGACATGATTTTTTTTTCCAAAAAAAACACAAATCTGCATTTAGAAAAAAAAAGTTATTGATTTTTCTTCGTTCCTACTAAGATTAGTCCGCTCGCTCTCTTTCTCACTCTCGCTCTGTGTCTGCGACAGGAGCAACAAACACATTGTCTCGCGGTCATAAAAAGATTAAAAAAAACAGTCATACTGTTGTCGTCTGTGTTTAGTAGTAGTAATAGTAGTAGAAGTAGTGAAGTTAAGAAGAGAGAAAAACGAATGTAGCATTGGACTGGACTCGGTTTGTCTTATATGCTTAGCGAATGCACAAGACAAAAAAGAAAAGACGTGCAAATGTATGTATGTATGTATTGTATGTGTGCGCGTGAGTGTGTGTGTGTGTATGTGCATTTGTCATGGTGTGTGCGACTAGCTTGTTGTTGTCTGTTTCGAATGCTCAGCTCACATGTTGTTGTTGTTGTTGTTGGCAAGGTGGTGTTGTTGTTGGTTGGTTAATTTAACACTGACATTGGCCTTGTTGATTTTGTTGTTGTTGTTGAGGTTTGTCAGTCAATCGATTACCTTGATTGGCATCAAAATTGGGGGAAAAAAAGATAAGTTTACAATATAGAAACAATATATGTAAAAATGTAAATATATGTTTTAAAAGAAATTTCAACTAAGCGGTCTTGGTCAGTAAACAACACTGTCAGTCGGCAGGCACTAACACATACATATATATGTATGTGTTGGTTCGAGCTGCGATATCATAACGCTACGGTACGTAGAACTTCATACGTATC